GTACGTGACAGAGGGAATCCACTATGACAATGAGGACGAGTTGAGACTATTACGCGAAAGAGCACCGACGTACTTCAACGTCACCTTGGACATCCAGAGGTCAATAGCAGCAAACGGAGAGAAATCGACGAGAGCGCAGCAGTTGCTGCATCGCTTACAGCAAAGTGCGTACGTGGCTAAAGACGAGACGTTGGCATGTTGCTCTGCGTACACCCTTCAGCGAGTTGTGGAATGGATGTGTGATGACGAAGACATCGAGAAGAGTAAGAGAGAGGGAGGTGGTTTTTACGACAGATCGGCGTTCAAGAAGTTTGTCACATCTCGGGCGAAGGAAGCTCGAATGTTGAAGACAGAAGCGCATGACATATTGAAGAGTAATGCAGCGGAAATATTGACACTTAGCAGGATGAACAAGCTTCCGCAAACAGACCCTGTTGACTACCATGATTTGGCAACAGTGGTGGTAGACGATGTCGAGTACGTCTTGCTCGATCAGATTATGGATTTAATGTTGAAGAAAGATAATGATACAAATTTGATTCACGAGGCCTTACACGAGGTGACAGAGGACGCAATAGCAGCAGCAGAGCTTGCTGATGTCGAGAGCACAAAGGATGAAAATCAACTAGTGTCAGGGACTCCAATATGTCAGGGGGACATATTCACAGTCCCGGAGGACCTCACCAGGGCATCAACGGAAGCGGAGAGAATGAGCAAAAGAATGCAAGGATGGCAATTGGTTGTTGCGGAAGCAATCAATGCGACACACCATATGCCAGAGAGCACACTGCAGACTACAAGTGGTGTGGGATCTGTAACAGCGGTTCAGAACCCGTTGACGATTCCTACTGCGGATACGTTGAGTGTCCATAATGCATTCAGAGCGTGAAGATTACCACTCTTTCGTCCTTCACATGAGATCGTCGAAGGACACGAACAAGTGGCATTCCAGGGAGTGCATGCGGATGGCGGAACTAGTGAGAGTGGCAATGCACAGACAGGGGATGATGAGAAACCGCCGTCATGCGAGGTGGGATTGAATGGCAGTGATATCTGCGATGACGAGGAGGGTGACGAATATGACTCTTATTGGGACGTTCACCGTGGTGGTGGACAGACCCCAAAAGGTGGTGTCATGCAATTTTAAGGTTGGCACGTGTTTTTGCAGAGCCACACCCGTGTGAACCTCAGTTGCATCATACATGGAGCAGTTGTCACTGCATGCGGAGGAACCGTGCATCCCACAATGTCAACAGCACATGCAATTATAAATGCACAACCAAAACGCCGACTCTCTCTCACGACAAACGACATCATCGATGCTGCGATGGACAGAGGGCATTCAGAGGAAGAACATTCGAAACGCAGAAAATTCTAGGACTCTCTCTCTCTCTCTCTCTCTCTCTCTCTCTCTCTCTCTCTCTCTCTCTCTCTCTCTCTCTCTCTGTGTGTGT